CAAGAAAGAAGAGCTAGGAATGGAGTCTATCCTTTGGACATGCGGTTCCTGCACTGAGAACCTCCTAGGCCCAGGAGACAGAGAAGGCTGTAACACCATGAGTGGTACAAGACAATGAGACACGGTGGCAGAGAAATGGCAGCAGCAGAACCAGGAGACTGGCAAAAGACAGTGCAGTGGGATTCCTGGTCCATGGAGCAAGGTAGCAACAGTGGGTATGCTGACCAACAGAATGAGAGAGCTGAGTGCCTTTGGGTAGGAAATTTGCTGGCAGAATGGGGTGCTTCTGAGCACTCAGTGGCAGGGCTGAAGAGCTTTTTAACACTTGCCTAACCAGGGCAGAGATCAGGCCAAAAGCCTAAGAGGCCAAGGGCTAGGGAGAGACTAGCCTACAGACATGGCTGAGAAGTTGTCCTGACCAAAGAACTGTATCCTAAGTAATGTCTGATCCTGAATTGTAACCTGTTACTTCTTTAATACACCCCAGAGCTGAATATGGTCTGTGAAATCTGTGTGGCCATTGCAACAAATCATTAAACCCAGCAGAGAAGTAGAGAGTGCCGTGGGAGGAATGGCTGATGTCAGAATTTGTAAAAAGATTGGAGAGTGGAGATATGTCTGACCTCCACCTCATAGGAATTTAGGCTGATGGTGTTGATGGTGATTTTCTTCCTCCCTACTGAAGTTAGTAGAGGAGGTTTCTGACTGCATGACACATTTTTTTTTTTTCACTGCTTTGAAGATGGAGGAAGGGGATCATGAGCCAAGGGGTGTGGGCAGCAGCTAGAAGCTGAAAAGGCAAGGAAACAGATTCTTTCCTACAATCTCTAGAAAGGAACACAGCCCAGCCAACACACTGATTTGTGCCCATTGAGTATTCTGACCTACAGAATTATATAATAAATTTGTGTTGTTTTAAACCAGTGGATTTTAGGTAAATTGTTACAGCAGCAGTAGAAAAACTAATACACAAATTCTAAAACTATTTTGAGACAAATCAGGAAGATTTAAACAGGGATTGGGTATTAGATGGAATTAGATGAAATACTGAGGAATTATTAATTTTTGTTAGGGTATGATAATAGTACTGGGGCTGCTTTTAAATATTTTTATTTGTTAGAGATAGATATACTAAAGTATTTACAAATGAAATGATATAATAATATCTGGAATATGCTTTAAAATAATAGTCCTACCACCAAAAGAAAAAAAAGGTGGGGGAATAGGTAAAATAAATTGACAAAAGGTTAATTGTTAAAAGTTTCGTGTTTACTACACAATTGCATTATTATATATGCTTGAGATTTTCTACAAAAAGTTGAAAAAAAAAAAAAGATGAATTAAGAGACAGTATCTGAATACTCTAGGAGCTCTGCTGGCATAGTGCCTAAGGCATTTGACTGCTATCCAGAAGGCTGGTGGTTCAAACACACCAGCCACTCCTTGGAAGGCAGACTGGGCAATCTACTTCTGTAGTGATACCACCTCAAAAACTCAAGGAGGGGTCGCTATGAGTCGGAATCAACTTGACGGCAGTGAGTTTGGTGTTTTTGTTGGTTTATCTGAATATTCTAGATTGGTGCTGTCCCAAAGAATTTTACATGATGATGGAAAGGTTCTATATATTGGCACTGCCCAATGTGGTAGCTACTAGCTACGTGATGCTATCAAACACCTGAAATATGGCTAGTGCAACTAAGTGAATTTTATTTAAATTTAATTCAATAAATTTGAGTAACCACGTGTGGCTCCACTGACTCACCACTGTTGATTCTGACTTATAGCAACCCTATAAGGGTTCTGTATAGGACAGAATACAACTGCTCCACAGGGTTTCTAAGGCTGTAAATTTTTACAGAAGCAGACTGCTGCTTCTTTCTCCCATAGAGCAGCTGGTGGGTTTGAACCACTGGCTTTTCAATCAGTAGCCAAGTGCTTAACCACTGTGCTACCAGGGCTCCTTCACACGTGGCTAATGGCTACCATATCACATAGTGTGCTAGTGTTCTGGATGTTGGGAGAAAACCAGGTCACCTTACTATAAGAACTCAAAGTTAGTAAGCAAGCTGATGAATTGTCAGTGTTGTATTTGTCTGCCCAGTTTCCTTTCCCCCTTCTTGCTAACGGCAATACCCAGATCCCACCTCCCAGCCCCACTCCAAGCCCTTCTGCACCACAGAGGTAAAGCATAATACAACTTCTTCCTGGCCACAGCAAGTGGTCCATGAAGAAAAATGACCAGAGCAAAGACAATCACAGTCCTTGCTTAAAATTGTCTGTATCAGGAGTGAAGAAGTAGTTCCCTTAATGAGGAGTTGTAAGGATGGAACCCTAGAACTGTTGACCATCATGAGCCCTGTGTCAGGCTGTGTTCTCTAGAAAAGCAAAACCAGTAAAGCTTGTATGTACAGAGAGAGAGAAATTTATCTTAGGAAAATGGCTCACACACTTAGAGACACTGGCAAGTCCCAAGTTCCTGGATCAAACATCAAACTGGAAGCTCTTCCTGACTCATGCAGCTGCAGGGGCTGATGAGCGCAAGGTTGGCAGGCTGTATACCGGCTGTTGACTCCGACAGATGGTGAATCCAAGATCACCAGGCAGAATGGTGGACTGTTCACTCACCAACAGTTGTAGGCAGCACAACAGGATCCAGATCCACAGAAGAGTCTCTCATTTTCCCAGGATATCCATATACATATTGGAAGCAGGCCACACCCCTAGGGAAACTCCCTTTCAATGGATTGGCTGCTCAAAACACATATATCCGAGCCCATCATGAGAATAACCACATCACAACTGCTTAAACCACTCAGAATAGTGGTCCAGCCAACTTGACACATAAACCCAACTATCACAAACCCTTACCACACTGATGTTCTTGAGAGTAAAACAATTAAGATGAAATATGGAGAGACAGAGTCTTAATATTTCTAAATACTCAGATCCAGTCAGTGCTGAAAACAGCTCCATTCCTTTTTTCCCATGTTTTAGTTTCAAAAAACCCAAACTCACTGCCAAGTGGTAAGCCAATAAATTCCTTTTTTGCATATACTAGATTTGAGTTAAATTCTATCACTTACAACCTAAAAGGGAGCTCTGGTAGCATAGTGCCTAAGGCACTTGACTGCTAACCAGAAGGCTGGCGGTTCAAACCCACCAGCCACTCCTCGGAAGGAAGGTTGGGCAATCCTACTTCCGTAGTGATACTGCCTCGGAAACCCAAGGAGGGGTCGCTATGAGTCGGGGCCGACTCGACGGCAAATAACAACAACAACAACTTAAAAAAGCCTTACTATAATTATATCCCTATTATTTAGTTTCCCATCTAAAACTTCTCACATAATAGGATCATTAGCTGAACACCAGGACACTCAAAACAACTTTGAGGGACCCAACTCAAGTAACATAGAGAATATATAGCACTCTCTACCTCCAAAAACCTAAACTCACTGCCAGGGCTCCTGTCACAAAATTAGAACTCAAAGCCCAACGCTGTGAAGTTGATTGATAGCAACCCTGTAGGACAGAGTGTAACTGCCCCATAGGGCTTCCAAGGGCTATAAATCTTTAGAAGCAGACTGCCACATCTTTCTCCCACACAGCGGCTAGTGGGTTCAAACCACCAACTTCTTGGTTAGCAACCAAATGCTAAACCACTGCACTATCAAGGCTCCTCCTCCTAGACCTAGCTAAGTAAAAACAGACTAATGGCTCCCAGTGAAACTTTTCTACTGCCAGTTCCGTCTTCAGGGTGAAGCAGGTCCTGATTATCAAAATCAAATAGTGATATATTGATCTGTAATTATTCTACTCCTATTCTTGATTTTAGCTAACTTGAGACTGTGGTGGCTTTTCAATAGGTTTTTACTTTCTAAAAAAAATAAAAGATCCACCCAGCTACGCACTGTGCACTGAACTGAATTTTCAATTCAGTTGCATTTCAAGAATAAGACAATAAAAAAGTTTCTAGCAAGATTAAGCAGCTAGAATTATCACATAATCAGTAATATGTATGCTATTCTGGGGATGGAGGGAACTGATAAAAATCATAGCCAAGTTCAAGCATTAATTTGTTTAATTTGTCATACTTTATTCCTTGTATCAATAGGTTAAGAAAGTAGAATTTTCCCAAGTATTGATTTATAGATAATGTTAATAAGCAGTGCACAAAACATTCAGTTTCACAAATAGTAACATTCAGTGATCCCATTAAATAAAGTATCAATCCTTATTTTAAGCTAAGTGCATTGACGATTTAACACAATATAGCTAAATACACACAAAACCTGTCTATCCAGAATTATAAAACTGGTTTCCATAGCCACATAGGGTTTTAGCCAAGTATATGCTTCCCATGAACAAGAACTAACAAGTAAGTTAATAAATAAAGCACCACCCAAATGCTTCTCTTGCTATCAGTTTTTTAAGCAATACCATTCCTGATACTGAAAGCATTTATTTTTAGAAGATTTCATCTGATCTGGAAAAATGACTTTTCCTAAAACTTGACAAATAGTATGTATAAGCCCCAAAGGTTTTAAATCAAAAAGCCTCCCAACACCAACACATTCATATGAAACTTTTAGTTTCTCAAAAAAAAAATCACTCTCGTTATCTGAAGAGTAATAAATGATCTGTTAAGCCAGATAAACATTCTTACAAAGTCTGTATCTTCCTAAATGATCTACTTAAGAGAAACACAAACCAGTTCACTGTCTTTAACAATCTCTCTAATTAATATTGTCTAAAAACTTGAGAATACAAGAAACACATCTCAGCTATCATAGGATCAAAGGAGCTGTTTAGATTTCACATATTAAATAGCTACTGTACAGCCTATGATGGCACAAAGACACCCAACATACAAATACTACTTTGTCATTTACACAGTCAAAAGCCAGAAAGTAATTTAACTTATGTGTGATAATTAAAACCCTCTAAGTAATTCAAATGTGTAATATAAAGGCAGGCAACTAAAGGCTGACATACCAATCTAAAATCAAAGACATGAAGTAAAGACTAAAAATTTTGTGTTTTTCCATCTGTCATTTACATGGTTAGATATCAGGAACTTACAGTAGAAAATATACAGTTACAGATAGTTTCCCTAGAAGGTAATGAAGCTTCAGAAAATACAGAATGTGTCAAGATCCATAGTTTGCTTCATCAAATGCTTTTCTGGCTCTTTTCAATTCTTCATTCATAGTTAGCAAGTCTTTCACCCTAGCAAACTTCCTCGGGTCCTTTCGAATCAAGAAGACGATATCTTCAACTTGTACTCGACCTTGTCTTCCAATTGACATAGCCTTATGAGTCTATTAGAAATAAACAAATTTAATTTAATTTTTAAAAATCTAAGAGTTTACTGCTTTAATTTGCATTTATGTAAGTGCCTCATCTTCCCTCTGCAGAGCAGCTTGTGGGTTTGAACTGCCAACCTTCTGATTAGCAGTCAAATGCTTTAGGCACTGTACCACCAGAGCTCCTACTGTTTTAATTTGCATTTATAGCATTTCTGGTGAGACTGAAAATTTTCTCTTCTAACCACTGTAGTTATCTGTGAACTTTGTTTTCATGTCCTTTGCCCCTTATCTACTGAGGTGTTAATGATGCTTTTTTTAATGTTTTATAGGCATTTTCTACATATTAAGAACATTAACACTATCAAATTTATCAATATTTCTCTTGTTCTGGTTTTTATATATGTAATTTTTAACTGACTTAATTTGTATAAAATAATTTTATAATTTTTTTCTTCACAAGTACCCATTTCATTTATACTTTGAGTCCTCTTCCATCTCAATTGGCCAATAAACACTAGTGGTTTTTCTTAAAATTAAACAAATAAATCCCACCCTCTATTATTATATACTTATCCTGTACAGAAACATAGGTTTATCATAGCATTATTTCTAACGACAGAAAAATGGAAACTAAAAAGATGGAAAAAACCTAAATGCCCATCAACAGAGGAATGGATCAACAAACTATGGAATATACACACAATGAAATACTATGCAGTTAAAGAACAATGATCTATCTGTGAAACTTCTCATAACATGGATGAACTCAGAGGCCATTCTGCTGAGTAAAATTAGTCAACTACTAAAGGACAAATATTGTATGAGACAGCTATTGTAAAAAGTCAAGAAAAAGGTTTCCCAAGAAAACAAAAAAATATTCTTTGATGTTTACCAGGAATGGGTGGGAAGGGAGGGTAAACCACTAACTAGAGGGTAGACATATTATTAACTTGGGTGAAGGAAGAAAAAATTTAAAATACTACCAATTTGCAGTCCCTAATAGAATAAAGGATCTAGGCAATAATTTTAAAGGCTAAACTAGGTAAAAAGCTTACAGGAATACATGAAAAAAAGTCAACAACACTTGTGGGGGTAGGGAGGAAACTCAATAATAAAACACTGGATAAATAATTTTGAGTACAAAATTTAAAAAATAAATAATTGTCATCCAGTCAGTTCCAATTCATGGTGACCCCATTCAAATATCATAAAGCCATTAAATACATTATCCTTAGAGTATTATACAGTTATATGAGGAAAATGTTCTAGACTTATCTCAGTGAAAAGGCAAGTTCTAAGACTGTACTATATGATCCCAATTTTATAAAAAGCAAAAGAAATTATAAAACATGAAATGGTATTTTTAAAAAATGTGCAAAGCCTAGAAAACCCAAGAGATTCAGTCAAAAACCTACTGGAACTAATCGAGAGATTTAGCAACGTCGCAGGATATAAGATCAACATCCAAATCAGTTGGATTCCTCTACACCAGCAAAGAGATTGCTGAAAAAGAAATAAGGAAATCAATACC